TCACCAGCAGGAGGTAGCACTCAAAACAGCACCAACGTGCAAATGGTAGACAGCCGAATCAGCTGTAAGGAGGAACTTCTCTTGGGCAGAACGAGGACTTCCAAAAACTACAATATGATGACTGTATCAGGTTAAGATATAGTCTGTGGATGGGTCATCTTACAATGATGGATAAATTTGATTTTTGCTTTGGGTGGGCTCCTCTTGGGGATGGATTATGGAATTTAAACCATGTCACAGCTATGAAGATCTGGCACAAGATAGAGTGGTAAAAAAAAAATTTTTTTAAGCGACAGTGCCATAGTTTGGACAGTACCTTTCAATGATTAATTTTAATAGCCTGTGAGTCCAAGTAAATGATCACTTTATTTGCTAGGGAGGGAAGTCCTAGGTTGGTTTCAGTTTCTCCCAGACATACCTGAATTTTTACATCAGTCCCTTTAAAGAAAATCTGTATTTCAAAGAACCTTTCTCTGCAGCAAATCTCGCAGAGGAATTTGCACTATTACACTTAAATTGTTACTGTTAACCTTTTTGGCAGCTCTTTTAGTCTAAAGAAAGAAAAAAAAAGTAGCCGTCCGCCCCTCACGCCCTCTCTTCCTCTCAGCCTTCTGCCCGGAGAGGAAGCCCGGGGTGTCCGCTCCGCCGTCTGGGCCGCGCTACGGAGCCCCGGCCGCCCCCGGCCGTCCCCGCACGCCGTCCCCATGCATCCCTTCTACACCCGGGCCGCCACCATGATAGGCGAGATCGCCGCCGCTGTGTCCTTCATCTCCAAGTTCCTCCGCACCAAGGGGCTCACGAGCGAGCGACAGCTGCAGACCTTCAGCCAGAGCCTGCAGGAGCTGCTGGCAGAACATTATAAACATCACTGGTTCCCAGAAAAGCCATGCAAGGAATCAGGTAACCCTTGTATTCGCATCAACCATAAAATGGATCCTCTGATTGGACAGGCAGCACAGCGGATTGGACCGAGCAGTCAGGAGCTGTTCAGGCTTCTCCCAAGTGAGCTCACACTCTGGGTTGACCCCTGCGAAGTGTCCTACAGAATTGGAGAGGATGGCTCCATCTGTGTGCTGTATGAAGCCTCACCAGCAGGAGGTAGCACTCAAAACAGCACCAACGTGCAAATGGTAGACAGCCGAATCAGCTGTAAGGAGGAACTTCTCTTGGGCAGAACGAGGACTTCCAAAAACTACAATATGATGACTGTATCAGGTTAAGATATAGTCTGTGGATGGGTCATCTTACAATGATGGATAAATTTGATTTTTGCTTTGGGTGGGCTCCTCTTGGGGATGGATTATGGAATTTAAACCATGTCACAGCTATGAAGATCTGGCACAAGATAGAGTGGTAAAAAAAAAATTTTTTTAAGCGACAGTGCCATAGTTTGGACAGTACCTTTCAATGATTAATTTTAATAGCCTGTGAGTCCAAGTAAATGATCACTTTATTTGCTAGGGAGGGAAGTCCTAGGTTGGTTTCAGTTTCTCCCAGACATACCTGAATTTTTACATCAGTCCCTTTAAAGAAAATCTGTATTTCAAAGAAGCTTTCTCTGCAGTAAATCTCGCAGAGGAATTTGCACTATTACACTTAAATTGTTACTGTTAACCTTTTTGGCAGCTCAATAGGAAAGCTGAACGTTTTAAACATGGTAGTACTGGAAATTTTACGACAAGACTTTTACCTAGCACTTAAATATGTATAAATGTACATAAAAACAAACTAGTAAGCATGACCTGGGGAAATGGTCAGACCCTGTATTGTGTTTTTGTCCTTGAAAGTAGCAAGTGACCAGAATCTGCCATGGCAACAGGCTTTTAAAAGACCCTTAAAAAGACACTGTCTCAACTGTGGTGTTAGCACCAGCCAGCTCTCTGTACATTTGCTAGCTTGTAGTTTTCTAAGACTGAGTAAACCTCTTTATTTTTAGAAAGTGGAGGTCTGGTTTGTAACTTTCCTTGTACTTAATTGGGTAAAAGTCTTTTCCACAAACCACCATCTTTTTTATGAACTTTGTTAGTCATCTTTTATTTGGTAAATTATGAACTGGTGTAAATTTATACAGTTCATGTATATTGATTGTGGCAAAGTTGTACAGATTTCTATATTTCGGATGAGAAATTTTTCTTCTCTCTATAATAAATTGTTATCTTGGCATTTTAAAAAAAGAGAGAGAAGGTTCTCATATTTTACTATATGGTTTAGCCCTTATTTTAATTTAAATGATCAAAGTAAAATAAATAATTATTTGCTCTAACAAAGATTAGACTCACTTTTCATAACCCAAACCGTACAACATGATAGATCAGATCATAGAATTTCTCCTATAGAGCAAAAAGATACTCCTATTTGTAAGAGGTAGAAAAGTCTTATAGCTCTATTGAGAAAAGAAGAATACGATGTACAGGAAATAAAAGCTCTTCCTTTTGAGTGAGAGGGGTAGAGGAAGGAAGGTAGAGAGAAGAAAGAAAAGGGAGAAAGGAAGTATGGGAAGTATGACACATGGATCCGATAGACCTTCTCCAGTCTTCTTTCCAAAGAACACAGGTATATTGGGTAAACTCCAAATGAGGAGATCTGGCCCCTTCTCTATCTTTGGGACTTTGGAAAGAGACTACCTGTCAGAACTGGAGAGAGAAGCATGTCAAGTAAATTTAATAGCAACTCTGAGTTCTACCTGAGAGCTTGTCAGAAGTAGCTGCTGTAATTAGGATGAGAGTTCTTAGAACTGGGGTTTGAAGGGCAGAACACTCTAATTGGAGTTAAGGAGTTCAGACACTCCTAAGGGGTAACAAGGTGGAGCCAAATCAATGGAAAGAGAGTACAAAGACCTCAGTGAGCTGAGGACAAAGAGAACACAAGCTCATTGCCATAATTGTCAGTAATAAATACCATCAACGGAAACAGTTCATGAATGAAATAAACCAGCCAGTGCACCCCCCAACCACAAGGACCAGGCTAGGGCCAAGGAGACACATTTCCCTTAATTCTCTCAATAACCCCAACTAATAACTTCAGCACACTGCAAAAGATGCTTCTAGCGGTCCAGGAACTCCACTATTCTTCCAGAAGATGCTACTTGGGGAGGAACCCCGAAGGGAAGCAGAATCCCAAAAGAACCTGAGAAATACAAGATAAACGAAGTTACCTAAAGAGAAAAATTAAATGTTTGGATCCTACTGCTTCATGCTGACTTGGGCTATAACTGGTTTATATATTTTTTTCTGACTACCTAGAGACATAAAGAAGCACATTTGAGTTGTTGTAGTCCATTGGCAACCTCACAATGCAGAAGTTTAGCTACAGAAGCGACAATTTTATTCATGAGAAGACTGAAGCACAGAGGGCTTAAATGTCTTTGCCAAGGTTAAAGCTGAAAATAGAATGATGATTTCAACTACAGTTGACCTTAGTAGAAAGCAGGTCCTCTTTGCCAAATACGAGTATCTTGATCCCTCAGCAAAGGCTCTTTTTCTTGCACCTTCACTCTCCAGCCACTGCCTTTCTTTTCCTACTCCAACTTCTAGGTAATGATACAGCTCTTCGTTCTGCTTAAGACCATGTGTCTGATGATACAATTAGCTTAAAGTTTGTTTAAAGTTACAGATAAAAAAACTTACAAGTTACTTTATATCAGGCCATCTATAAAAACAAATCAAAGAGGAACTCACAGTCACTTGTAGATTCTGAACAGATGTCTTTGGCAAGAATAGAACGTAGAAAGAAGAAAATTCCAAACCATGATGCCACTTGGACAGTTCTGAGAACACTGATACAGCTTCCCCATTTTAAAATTTATAATTACAGTAAAACTCTGGTGAAAATACAAGCTGAGAATGTATCAGCTGATAATAGAATATTTTCTTTTCTTTTTTTTTTTTTTTTGAGACGGAGTCTCACTCTGTCGCCCGGGCTGCAGTGCAGTGGCCGGATCTCAGCTCACTGCAAGCACTGCCTCCTGGGTTTACGCCATTCTCCTGCCTCAGCCTCCGAAGTAGCTGGGACTACAGGCACCCGCCACCTCGCCCGGCTAGCTTTTTGTATTTTTGCCCGGCTAGCTTTTTGTATTTTTTAGTAGAGACGGGGTTTCACCGTGTTAGCCAGGATGGTCTCGATCTCCTGACCTCGTGATCCGCCCGTCTCGGCCTCCTAAAGTGCTGGGATTACAGGCTTGAGCCACCGCGCCCGGCCGAGAATATTTTCAACAAGAATGACCACTCAGACTTTTGACGTTAGAATCTATGATGGTTAAAAGAGAAGGGTAACTATTTGAGATGTGCAAGGATGCTGAACAGGAGGCATTCTACTCCACCCATCACTTGACCTTTCACAATTTGTGGTGCTCCTAGGTATCAAAGACCTAATTATTTTAAGCACTATTCTTTCTGTGGGTTTTTAAATAATTAATTTGTTTCCTATTCAGTCTAAGCTCTCAAGAAAACTGTGGAGTCTTGTCATAATACTTTGTAATTTATAACTTTCCTTTAGTTATATTCTTTCCTGGTATTCTCACAGTACTTCATGTGATAGATGATACAGATGAGAAACCATGGCTCCAAGAATTCAAGCAATTTCTGCAAGGCCCCATTACTGGAACATGAGGAGCTGGGATTCCAAACCCAGTCTTCCAACGGCAAATCCCTTTCCACTCTAATTCCTTCCTGAATTTATCTGATTTACAGCAGGGTAATGACTCCCAAACTTTAACTCTGCCCTAGGAAATTACTCATACTTTCTCTTTATCATCAAAAAGGAGCCTGTCAAGAATCAGTGTCAAAAATTCTTAATCCGGTGAACTGTATTGCTCTTCTAAATTTAACTCTACACCAAATTATGCATAGAAAGAGATTCATTGGCCTGCAGACCTGAGATTCTGAAATTTTCTGTAGTGCCTAACAGACCTTTTTGATCCATCACATTTAGTCACATCAATCATATTAACTCAAAGAACACATTGTAGAGAAAATAATGTAACTTGATTGATGTGAACAGATGTGACATGGGACAATTAAGTTTCAGTTTAAGGACCCAAGGAGAAAAAACACCTGATGCTCTATAAGGTTCACTAAACAAAGACCCCATTGCTAACAGTATAAATAGGATTTATAGGCTTTGTTTTCCCAAGTGGAAGAGAGAAGAAATACAATATATCTTAATAGTATAATATGTGTTTATCTACCGTGCATGGGCAGAAAATTCCCCGATTGTCTGAAATCTAATATTTCCTTTTGCATTCTAGAGCCAAGTCTAACCTAGCAGTACTAATCCACAGGGAAAATAACACTGTGTTTTACGAAATAAATTATAATTATTATACATATGGAGGAAAACATTTCAAAATAATTCCATATATTTAAGAAAAATAAGTAATTTTAATAGACTTGAAATGTGAATCATACTTTATTGGGAATATTTAAAGGCATTTACACTGGTACAAAAGATTATAACCATTCCTTTCAAAGTCTTCTTTTTCTTGAGTTCCACTTCATAATTTAAACCTAAGTAAAACAAAGATCAAAATATACTGGGAGTTGAGTCCATTCTCTATCTCCCACTGCAAGACTGAGTTGTAGTGGGCCCATACCTAGCACCATGGCCTCGTTGAATAAAGTCTGCCTTACCAGCTTAAGAAAATACTCACGTACACACATTTTTTAATGGAAGAAACAGGGAAACATTTGGTAGTTTTGAGTGTGTGTGTGTGTTTGTGTGTATATATATGTATGTTATACATATATACACACACACCCCTATATTAGGTATATATGCCTATATATGAAAATAACAAAAAGAAGACATATAGTATATGTATGCACATGTGTGTATATATACACTTGTGTGTATATGTCTACTTGAATGTGTGTATACATATATATATGCATATATATATACTTAAAAGTACCAAAGTTTTCCTGTTTTTTTCCCATTAGATATTGAGAAAATTAACACTTGTATCTTATATATCTTATTAGTGGAAATAATAATTTATAATCAATCTAATGTTTTTTTTGTTTTTTTGTTTTTAGTTTTTTGGGTTTTTTTTTATTTTTTTGAGATGGAGTCTTGCTGTGTCACCCAGGCTGGAGTGCAGTGGCATGATCTTGCTCACTGCAAGCCTCGCATCCTGGGTTCACAGCGTTCTACTGTCTCAGCCTCCAAGTAGCTGAGACTACAGGCAAGCACAACCACGCCTAGCTAATTTTTTTTTTTTTTTTTTAATAGAGACTGGCTTTCACCTTGTTAGCCAGGATGGTCTCGATCTCCTAACCTTGTGATCTGCCTGCCTGGCCTCCCAAAGTGCTGGAGTTACAGGCGTGAGCCACCGTGCCCGGCCAATCTA